CCCGGGGTGGGAACCCCCCCCCCAACCGGAGCAAACGTCCACCAGTGATCCTTTTCTTCACCTTCACATAACCTTCGTCCTGTCTTTCACCACAATCTCTTTAAAATATAGAAAACTTCCGAGAACAGCACGCCGCATGCAGCGAGTGTGCCATTCCACCAGTCAACTGACGGTCAAGCACAGCAGTCAAAAAGATGGCCATGTCGTCCGTGTTGCCTGCAGAGAGAGGATTCGTTGAAGAATGGCTTCCAGATTGAGAGGGACCGGTTCGTGTCGCGCATGTCTCATGAGATTCGTTTCTACCACTGTGCGCGGTCCTGAACGAGTGTGACTTGCCGGGTGATGAGCACGATCGTACAGTCATCAGACTCATCTACACAAATCAATCTTGCACATCGCGAACGAACAACGTTTTGAGGCTGGACAAACTGAGGTCAGACAAGATGGTGGTGGACTCCGAACGTATGACCCCGAGGAGATCGTCACCGCGGCACCATCGAAAGACACAGGGGGGAGTTCCACGTAGAAAATGCTCAGACGTTCTTCATCGATGGACGGCATGCTGCCAATATTTAAAGTTTCATTGGACTGGACATCAAAGTGTTATCAGATCCTTGACAGCTTACTGTCAAACACCCTGAAGTACACAAAGGGCGGTGGCTTGGGTGGGTGTCATTGATTACGATTTTGACTTACACGGGTCCTGGGTGATAGGATTCCAGTATGTCGACGAGTTTTCCCAAGGCAGCACATCCATGAGAGGCATCGGCATCGGCCTTCACGTTGTCTCCGTCTTGTGTAACTTCTTGGGCGGCTACTACTATGTAGACTTCGTGGGATCCACAGTAGTAGGTACGGGAACTACCGTAGATTTGTCGTTCGAGCGGAGGGCCTGTCTTCACCTGAGGGTGATCACAACAAACTAACTTTTAAAAACGCTGAGGATAGTGTTGGTCGTCGTGGACACAAATAAATGCAACAAATGCGACAAACCGTAAATTCATCCACCGCAAGCTACAAAGCTTGGAGGGACAAAAATACCAGCTTGAGGATTAGGTGGTCGTACTCGTAGACTTGCAAGGCCTGCATGGCCGACTCTGCGTCGCTCTTCTGGTAGTACGACACGAACGCGACCCCCCTGCTCTGCATCGTCTCGGGATCCTTCGCCAGTTATACCCTATTTCGTAGCAGAAAGCGTGCACGGAGGGAGGGAAGAAGAACTCAAACCGAACAAAGACAAAACAATAGGCCAACACTAAGGGAAAACGCTCCTGTGCGGCCACCCTCTCATGTTCCCGACCCCGACTAACACGTCGAATATGGAAAAAAAACCCGGAGAGGTCGTGTGGACTGACTGCCGCCAGAATAAATGCGACCTACACAGAGACAAGTGAAGGACAGAAGCCGTTAACTCGATCGCAGGACGAGCACGAGGGTGATGGGGTTTTCGCCAAGATACTCGTCGCCACCGGTTTTCCGTATAGCACGTCCAACCTATTGTTTCACCGGGAGGCGCCCAACAGAGGTCCTGGAGTGAAAACACTAGGTGCACAACACTTGCCCCGTGTGGTGGTAGCCTTCACAGGCGGGTATCGAACGAGTATGTCATGTCATGCCCTCGGTTTTCATCAGGGAACCTTTCCAACACTTGGTGATAGCTTTCGGCAGCACAGCAAAACAAACACAGCGTGTCGTCAAATAAGAAAAAGAAGAAAACAAATCGTCCGAACCACCGACAACCTTTCACCGATGAACACCACCCCCACGACCACCTCCTAGTTCGTCCGTGGGAACCGTAGCCTGGGCCGGAGAAAACCCGGCACATCATTCCGTTGTCGGGATGCGAGGTCATTGGCCTCATGACTACGGCATGCGTTTACATGAGTACTCCCTCCCCCCCCCCCCCCCCCCCCNTCGGGGGTTTCTCTTTAATTACTAGTGCAAACTGATTCCCATGTCCTTCTTCGGGGTACTCAAGTGTTGCATGTCTTGGCTGAAGTGGAGGATAGGGGCCAGAGGGGCAGACGACAGAGTCCAATGATGGGAGAAAAAGAAGCGCAGACCCACGAAACGTTTTTTTTTATTTTGTTCCTCTCTATCTCTTCCCCTCCCCCTTCCCCCTCCCAGAGGTGCCGATATGGAATGGATGCGGCGCGCTGTTTTCGGCGAGGACACCCCATCACCTGTCAGGGTTATTTCGAGGCTGCTTACGGTGAAAATTTATCGCGAGAAATGTTGATGGCGTCCATTGTCGTGCTGTAGTCCATGACACCGCAATATTTTCTCTCCGTCTTCGTTCTCTTGAATTGCCCTAGTTGTGCGGTGACTTCGGCCCTAGTTCCCCCACCTGTCTCAATGCCCGTTACCTACATGGTTGCGGTCATCGATATATCGAGTCGTCTCCGCGACAGCAGTAATCGTCGTATAGATCGCGCCGTTCGTAACGCTTTGGGCCTCATTCTCGCAACACTGATGACAGGCGGGCGGCGAGGAGAAAGAGGACAGCGATGATGCAGGAACACATCGCGAGATGCATCCAGGGCGCAAAAGTAAGCTGAAGCCTGGGTTACTGAAGAGTCGAACGAGTCTCCGCAGTGACTACTAGAGTGCATTTTCTGTGTTATCTTTTCATACTTTGTTCTGCTGGGTGTTGCCCCGTCGGTGATGACCGCTTGATGTATCGCCCTGTTCATACTCCGACGTCATTTCCGCAAAGTTGAACTCTCCGGATGCTCCCAAGGAAAACAGAGTGCGGCTGCGTCATATAGTTCCCCCTTGTACTCTCCAATGCTGTTCGGCGCAAGGGCGCCGAGAGGACTCCGACGATGAGGAGAATGACGACGACACGGAGGATTCGGACGAAGTGGCGGAGCGCAACAAGGACATGGTCCGCGATATGCATGATGCCGCCGCGGAGTATGGTGATGTTCGGGTGAGATTGCCATGTAGATCGTTGTCTGCTCGCGCAATTCAGACATAGTAGAAGTATCAGCCAATGTATCCAGTTGGCGTGAACTCGCAGAGTCGTATCANAAGGAAAACAGAGTGCGGCTGCGTCATATAGTTCCCCCTTGTACTCTCCAATGCTGTTCGGCGCAAGGGCGCCGAGAGGACTCCGACGATGAGGAGAATGACGACGACACGGAGGATTCGGACGAAGTGGCGGAGCGCAACAAGGACATGGTCCGCGATATGCATGATGCCGCCGCGGAGTATGGTGATGTTCGGGTGAGATTGCCATGTAGATCGTTGTCTGCTCGCGCAATTCAGACATAGTAGAAGTATCAGCCAATGTATCCAGTTGGCGTGAACTCGCAGAGTCGTATCAGCCTTCGTAGTTTAGTTGAACGGCTGATCAACATCGCAACGAGGGCCTATTGGTTACAAGCTGTTCACCCGCGCATTTTGTGTTTGTCCACGGCCGTTTGGAGGACGATGCGGAATCATGACGACCCCTCCGTACAAACTCTTAGGGTTTACGTGCGGAGCCAAATCGCGAGGGGTCTTCGCGGAGACCTAGACGGCGGCAAGAAGAAGGTGTGAGAGAGGGTGAACCCCCTCTTCTTCGAGGGGCGTAGACGCTGGCTCGGCCCGCTTTGGAAGAAGGTCAAAGATTTCCGACGCTTGGAACGGCCCGTTGGGCCACGTTGACGGAGTCGCCGCCTTAGAACACCGTAAGGCTGATACTAAGGCGGCGACTGCGCTTACCTTGACCCGCTTTGCTGCCTGGGAGGGTAGACTCCGGGCGTGGATAAGTCAGCCGGAAGTGTTGGAGGCAGGGTTGCGAGACTACCAGGAAGAGAAGGCGTTGCACTACCTATCCTGCATCATCAATCACGTGGAGGAGGTGGGTTGATAGGTAGTCAGTTAGCGAGTTGGGCATTTGTGGAAGGGTTTGCGTGTCATCTCCGCATCCGTGTGTGAACAAGTCAAAACTGCTATCCTCCTGCGTCTGCACGTTACTGCGGTGATTGTAGGTTTGAGAGAGCGCGCCGTGTGTATATTTCTGGTAGGGGTAGGTGTGTTGGAGCTACCACCAATTCCTGGCGCTCGGGTCGGGTCTAGAATCGACCATCCGATTTCATCTAGTTTATGTGTATTCCACGGCCAAGTAGCTGAGGTACTCTCCCCATGCCCGCGCTCCTCTTTTCGAAACGTTCCCCATCCCCTCCCCTTAATACAAGGTGTACGCGAAAGAGCGCAAGGATTCCGTGGCCGTGGAGCTCTCTTACCCGAGTGAAANCTGCTATCCTCCTGCGTCTGCACGTTACTGCGGTGATTGTAGGTTTGAGAGAGCGCGCCGTGTGTATATTTCTGGTAGGGGTAGGTGTGTTGGAGCTACCACCAATTCCTGGCGCTCGGGTCGGGTCTAGAATCGACCATCCGATTTCATCTAGTTTATGTGTATTCCACGGCCAAGTAGCTGAGGTACTCTCCCCATGCCCGCGCTCCTCTTTTCGAAACGTTCCCCATCCCCTCCCCTTAATACAAGGTGTACGCGAAAGAGCGCAAGGATTCCGTGGCCGTGGAGCTCTCTTACCCGAGTGAAAGGCATCAGATCACAAAACCGTGCGGGCAAGTCCTTTACTACATTGCAGGGTGGGCGGCCAGCAAGGCTTGGACGCATCACAGAAGACACAACCTTTCCCAGGATTGGGTGCGTGTCGTCCAACACAACACTCGCCGGTCCAGAGGGGAGGCGATATGTACTGATTCTATGCTGAGAGATTTCGCAGCAAAGGCGATTCGAAGAACGATATGAAGAACGGTCCGGGCCTTCTTTACCCTACGATGGAGTGGGTAGAGTTCGTGTATGCCGTGGAGAACGGCATATTCCATTAAAAAAAAAACATCTTCCTTGCTGCTTGCCTCGGAGACTTGCCAGCCGAGATTTTCAAAGTTGTAAGCGAGGCGGAGGTCGTCAAGGAAATGTGGGGAAACTGCTGCCTCCCTGGTCCTCCTGCCATCGATCCTAGTGTATCCCAAGAGATGTTTCTTTCGTTGTCGGGAAAATCCTCAACGTGCGAATGGGTGACTTCGCGAAGAGTGCAAGGGAGAATATTTCCCTCAAGTTCTCGAAGGCCGCGCATGCTTTGCGGCAACAGCTGAACGCACGGGTCGGGACAAATGGAGGGGCGGGGGCCGGTAGTGGCGAAGCAACGGGGGTTGCACAGGGGCCGCAGGAGGGGGCGGGAGGGGTGTACTCATTGTCGTGCATGCCGTAGTCATTAGACCATTGACCTCGCATCCCTACGAAGCCGGGACGGAGCACGCCGGGTTCTCACCGGACCAGGCTCTCACATCACCAAGCGCGAAGCGCCGTGAGATATTCGGCGAGTCGCATGAAGGGTGCGCTGCATCCTGCTAAGGGTGTTCGGCATCTTGTGCTTACTTCCTTGCGTACGGATGACAGCTGCGTATGAATTAATTTTTTTTCTGGTGCGTTCACTTCCAGAGACAGTTGTCAGCACTGCGTAACTGCCTCGAGGATGCTTGACCATTTTAACACAACGTGGTGCGATCATCCCCCTTGCGCGGAGTGAGGGTTCTCCACCCCGCACAACATGATCTACTCGACCACCATGATGGTTACCGCCAAAAAAACGGGGGTAAAAGCAACAAACGGTAACCTGGTCCACGAAGTGAATTGGCTTGTTTTACAACGTCGTTGCCAAGCGACGAAAA